GTGCCAGGACAGCAGCGGGACAGTGCTCAATTTGCTTCGTTGCCTGCAAAGGGGTGATTGTGAATGTAGCCAGCTCCAAGGGCACTGCAGCGATTTTTTGAGCGGCGGCCCTATTCTATCCTAGTTATGCAAGGTCTCCGCAAAGTCCAGACTCAAGAGAGAAGCTCCAGCTGATTGCAACGCAATGTGGATGGCTCGTGGATAGGAGCGTGCAGACCGTGCGCTGGCCCCAGGTCACGGCGGATGCATTGAGGATGCATTGGCAGCGGGCAGGTTCACCGCCTGGAGCAAGCATGGGTGAAGTGTGTGGATTGCATTCTAATTGTTGAATGTTGCATGGGGATGGTGTTGCTCATGTCGGTTTTAAGGTGCACTAATTGTTACCTCTCTTTCTGAGTAGCTTTTCATGTTAGCTTGGCATTTGGTTTTGGGACCTGGTCGGATCATCTTCTTCTTTTTTGAGCCGGGCACCACCTTATTGCTTCAACCACTTCATGGCATGGATGCATCATCAAGCTGGTAAGTATTGACCTGTTACTTCACTTAGACTTTTTCTATTTGCATCTGGCGTCACCCGCGGAAAATGCCGGATCCTTCCTGCAAGGTTTCAGCTAGTAAGTAAACCCTTTGTCATTTCAGCCATCGCGGGCAATGTTCGTTCTCTTGTCTTTTGTCCCTTAACGCGGAGCTCAGTATATCCATCCATATTGTAGCCTCTGTCTCAAAAGCATTCAGTCTAAGTCCAAGCATCAGCGTCGCGCCTTTGCTCAAAGCCCAAAGTCAATTCGAATTGTGCCGTGGCAATGTTGCATGCTCTTTTGGCTATACCCATGCTTCTTGTATTCAAGTTGTGCCACCTTCGCTGCAATGTTGCATCTCGTGCTCCTTCAATGTAAGCCCATGCCGATCATGCAGCTCGCGGTCTAGTGTTTGGTTTTGCAAAGCGCTGGTTCCTTTTAAGAAAAGATCCCCAAAGCTAAGAAGTACGGGGCAGGGGTTTTTTAATGGCCCGGCGCCTTGCATTCCAACCTAGACTGCCATCAAGATGCCGCACGAGCTATCATCCTTCGACGCCTACCAGATGCTTCCTACCTGATCCGCTGTTACGAACATCCGGGGCCTATACAATTCAGAGTCGGTTGGCAAGCACTTGTTGGTCAATGTTTTGAAGCCCTTTGAAGAAGCCTAAGCGTTTTATTGATTAGACGGTAGGCTGCATAAATCTGGAGTTGTAGCATCGGTACGGTGTCTGGAAATAGCTGGTAGGTTGTTGTTCACCGCCATAAGCAAAAACCTCCAAACTCAAACAATTGTATGCCATGAGAAGCCTATGGCTGCACTGGCTACGGCGTAACGAAAAGAGACCATCATTTGTGATTGTTAGGTTTGTGTTGCTAATCGGTGATTGGTTGTAGGCTCAGCTCGTTTTTGACTCAATCTCCAGCAGCATCAGTGAGTCACGCCGGGCCTAGCCCCATGAGAACACACACAACATTAGGCAAATAACAGGTAATAAGAAGCTTGAGAGACTTCACAAGCAACCTATGGTGGGTACCGGGAGTATCGACGCCGACGTAGGAGTTGAAGCTTCAACTTGAAAATGGCGCCTCCTTCCTCAGCAGCAGAATTCTAGGCATAGCGACTACAGGTGCATTTCTCCACCATATCACCCGCACAATAGCTCTTTAGAAAGCTCTGCTCAAGGGCTTCCCATTGATACCAGGTGCTCCCGCCCCTTCAAAGCCGGTGTTATTCAGTAACAGGGTCAGATCTGCTGCACACACTTAAGAAAGCAGTTCTGCAGCGCTTATGCACCACATGTTGCAGAAGGTAAGAACCGAGCTCTTCTCCCTAGGCTTACCTTTGCTTTGCTTCGCTTGTTACGTGCATTGCTTCTGCTCTGGCTGCCTTCGCTGCATCACATTCTACCTTGGCGGAATTACCACAGGCATTGTATGCTTTGTGCTTTTGTGCGATCCGTAGCTTGCATCCCAGGTGTAGCTCACTCCATTCAATGATTGCCATCTGCTTGCTGTTGTTGCCTGCTGTCCCTTGCCCTTGTCCACCACCACTTCCATCACCATCCACACACGTACCGCTCTCACTGCACAAGGCGTGGATCTCACTTGCGGCCTCCCCCCCACGTTAGGAGGTGGCCCTAGCCACACTCACAAAGGTGGTCTAACTACTTCCACTGAGGTAACCTTGGCCAAATTGAGACGGCCTGGTTGCATCCACAATCACAGAGGTGGTCTGACCACATTCACTGAAGTAACCCTGGCCAATTTGAGGCGGTCAGGTTGCATTCACAATCACTGAGGTGGCATTCAGGCATTGCCACATTCACAATCACAAACCGACTGTGGTGGTCAAGCTTACAGTCACACTGAGGTGGCTGTTTCTAGACTCACTTGCACCAAAGCAGCTTTTTCTTACACCCACAATCTGAGTGCGGTGGCCATGCCATACTCACCTTGAAGTGCTTGAGGCTACACATTTGCAAGCTGTGAGGTGACTTCTGTCACAATCAGAACTCTGAGGCGCTAACGCCATATCCAAAAGCTTGCGAAGCTTGAAGTGATCCAGATCTAAGTTGCAATGATCGATGTCTTTTTTGGCCTGTTCTGGGCTCATCTATCTAATGGCTCCCTCATCGCAATCTTTCCTCAGAATTGGCTCTCTCAATTCTGCAGGCAAAGCAGCTGCAAATACCCAGGAGCTCAAGGACCTGCTCAACAACGTCTCATTTGATATCCTAGGCCTCCAGGAGTTGAGGAACAATCGAGCACTGCAAGTCCCTGGCTATGACTGGCTTTCTGGATTAGAGCCTTTTGAACGACCAAAACACCATCTTGGGTTAGGCGTGCTGGTCAAAGCGGACATTGCAGCTGTCGTCACCATCGCCAATGTAAATCCAGTGCACGAATTCATGTGGCTCAAATTAACTGGTAAAGCCAGCGTGCATGATACTTATGTATGCTTTCTCTATTCACCACACTCGAACCATATAACAACCAAGAGGGAAGCCTTTTATGCAGAACTGCTTGACTCTTCCTCGGAGTATGCTGCTAAAGGGGACGTCCTTCTGCTAGGTGATTTTAACGCACGCATTGGTGCGCATGCGGGGGACAGAACAACTAATAGAAACCGCCCGCAGCTCTTAACTTTTCTTAGGTCAGCTTTCTCGGATGGGGAGCAGGACCACTATCGTTGGCATTGTAAATCCCAACTTTGGTGGCAGGTCCGTTCCAACATTCCAGAAGAGGGGCCAAACATCCATCATTGACTATGTGGTGACTGCTCAAGAATCTCTTGCTCGAGTCTCTAATTTTCACATCGAAACGAACACTCAAGCCCTCGGCGCGAATGCTATTGGTAGTGACCATCACCTCCTTTATGCAGATTGGCGGCTTGAAGTGGACGTCCCTGTTTTGAACACCACCAACAGGCTCATCTGGAAGAAAGAGTAACTCCAGGACCCTGAGGTCAAACAAGCCTTTCAAACAGCGCTCGCCCGCCATCTTGCCAGTGGTAAGTGGCGAGAATCTGCCTCCGTTTTCTTCGACCTTCCCGACCTGCAACAACTGCCCACTGAATTTAGTCAGCATGGATTTGACATGGCTTACCATAATTTTATCATGGCAGTCAACCTGAGCTTAAAAGAAACAGTGCCTGTCAAGACATTCGGTCCTAATGCTCGGTCCTGTTGGGACGCAGAACTCCAAGACTTAGTTGAACTCCGCAGTGCAGCACACTCAGAGCTTAAGAGTTTCACCGAGCATAAGGAGGATGCCGAGCTAGTCAATAATCCTGCTTACACAGAGTTGTGGAACAAATATGTTCAGTTACGCCGTCAAGTTCACACGCTTGCGGCCAATAAGAAAAAGACATTTCATCAATCGCTACTTTCAAAGTTGGAAGCTGAATTTGTGTCAGACCGCACACATTTTTACAAAGCGATTGTCAGATTGCGCAAAAAGGGCAACACCTTCGGTGCATTGCGGACTCTTCGAACCTCCCCTGATGCAGGAGCTGATATTACATCAGACCCAAACGAGATAAAGAACAATTTGTTCAGCTTGCACTCTTCCATGGGCCGTCATGATCCCGACGACCACCGTTTTGATTGCCAGCACCTTGAGGAAATCGAACAAGCAGTCCAAGCTGTACCAACAAACGAACAAGGGCCCGTTTTTTGCGAGCAAGCAATCCTGTCAGATGAAGTGAAGTCTGCTCTCTCCCTCCTGCAGAACAACAAGGCCGTAGGGCTGGACACAATTTGCAACGAATCGCTTAAAGCTGGTGGCCCGGTCTTGGTAAGTGCCTTGACCTTGCTTTTCAATTTTATTTGGAACCATGCTGTCGTTCCTTCCATTTGGCACCGCTCCACAATTTGCTTGATCTTCAAAAAGAATGGGGCTGATCCTTTGGAAGCCAAATCATACCGCCCGATCTCTCTCACTTCATGCGTGGAAAAGGTGTACGAACGTGTTAAACTGAATCGGCTCAGAGAACACTTTGAAACAGCTGGACTGATTCCAGAAGAGCAGGCAGGGCTTCGGCCCAATCGTGGAACGCGCGACCAGACATACATACTTCGAGAAAATACTGACGCTAGATCGGCTGACAAACAGAAGACAATTCTCACTTTCGTAGACCTGACAAATGCTTTTCCAAGTGCTTGGCACGACGGTATGTGGCACCGCCTCTTACAATGTGGCGTCCGTGGGAAGATGTACCGCAGCATCCGGGCCATGTACCAATCTTGCTATTCCGCTTTGCAAACCCCCTCTGGCCTAACAGACTGGTTCTCTACAAATCTTGGAACACGGCAAGGTTCTGTCTTGTCTCCCTTTTTGTTCTCCTTGTTGCTCTCCCCTCTAGCAACACACCATAAAGACAAGGGGTTTGGTTTGCCGGTAGCAGGAACGAAAATCGCTTGTCTCCTTTATGCTGATGATCTGGTGCTAGTGGCAGATTCTGAACTAGAGATGCGTGCTATGATGCAGGAAGCGACGGAATTCTTCCACAAGTGGCGGTTTAGTGTTAGCGGCAAGAAGACCCAGGTCGTGTCCTGCGGTGCTGGCGAGGCGCGCACCCTCCTCGATCGTACCTGGTCGATTGGAGCAGAGACCATCGAAGAGGTATGCTCATACAAGTATCTTGGCATACACTTTGAAAAGAGTGGACTCTGGAAAAAGATGCTGTCTGTAAATCTAGACAAAGCGAATAAAGCCTACAAGCAGCTCTATCAGATCGGATATGGTGACTCAGGGCTCCAAATCGGACAATCAGCCGAGCTCTGGAATCTGTTTGCTCGCCCGAAATTGCTGTATGGTGCAGAGGTCTGGTCAGCCACCTCAGCAAAGCTTAGGAAACAGATTGAAAGCGCGCAGGCCCAAGCTGCAAGACGAGTTTTTGGCAAACAGGGCAATGCTTCAGTAATTAATGAAGCTCTTTTAGGGGATTTGGGTTGGATGTCAGCAAGCTCTCATATAGCAGAGGCGAAACTAAATTTTTATGGTCATATGTGTCGCCTTGGCGATCACTGTCTCATAAAAAGGGTGTTTTTAGCCCGCCGTCAGGACTTCTTAAACCAATGCAATGTTGCTGGCGTTTCTTGGATTCAAAATAGATCGTGGCATTCCGAAGTTTTAAAGCTCTTTGCGGACCTCCAAATTCCGTTGTTAAGCGCCCCTGGGCATGCAGCTGGTTTTTCCAAGTACGAATGGAAAAAAGTAATCCGCGCCGCCGTCGTTAAAATGGACAGTGCGTTGTGGCTTCAAAACTTGGATCGCACAGACTCAGGCAAGCACTATAAGCTGATCAAAATTCAATACGGGCGTGAAGATTATATCTTTCAGCATGATCGCAAATCAACCAACCTTAAATTCTATCTGCGCTCTCGCTCATTTGGCCTTCGCTCGAGGATATTTCATGGACCAAACGCCGCAGCTAACAAGGTTTGCAAGTTGTGCACTGCCGGGGTTGAGGAAGATGAAGTTCACTACCTTCTAAACTGCCCTGCTTTCACAGTTGCACGTAGGCTGTTTGCATCCGACCTAAAGAACCGCCTTGCCACGGATTCTCCTACAGAATTTTCAGAGATTGTTTTGGCCCCTCCAAGATTGCAAATGGCTTTCCTTCTAGGCAGATCTGAACCCCACTGGCACAAAGGAGCTACTGAACGAATTGACTCCTCTATCCGCCCGTTTCTGCAAACATTGGCCGTCGAAAGACAACAAATGAGTTAAGTTTCAACGGCCTTGCTGCCAGCTAACAATTCGGGCTGCACCCGTGCAATCTCTCATGTGAACCGTCCAAGCTAATCAGCTTCGCTTGCTTTCCTTTATCAGATTCTATGGGCAGGCATCCGGCCAAAAATAAACGATCCAAGATCAGAAAACCTGCGGCAACCCCTCCCAACTTTGTGATGGCCGACCAGGACGAGGACAAGCCTATACTGCCGCCAGCAACCGGCAAAAAAACGGGGGGCCGAGTCTGCGAAAGTCTCCGAGCAGATTGCAGGCAAAGAGGACGCGAGCCAACTCTCTGCTCTTCTAGAGGGAAAGCCGGTGGACCCAGAACCGAAACCACTGGGTAAAAGAGAACGCGAATCTGTGGGGTCAGGGGCAAAAGCGGACGGCGAGGGGGAGGGCTTGAGTCTGAAGAAAGTCAAACGAGCAGTGTTGAACCGGGAGTCGGTGCGCGCCATTGTGCAAGAGGAGAACGGGTTGCTGCTAGTTGGAACGGAGAACAAGATGCGGGTTGTGATTCGCGAAGAGCTCAAAGCCCTCCTCGGGATTTCGAGTCCAGGTGACACGTTGCAAGCCGCCCTCACCCGAGCCTACCAAGAAACCCTTAGAGCGGCCCTCATAGATGGCCAACCAAAACCGGAGCCATACGCTTCGTTTGTGTCAGGAACCCTTGGGCCTCGGCGCGCGGACTGGGGGGACATTGCCAAGCTGAGTGCAATAGGCTCAACGTTGGACGACGTTGAAAGGCTGGTCAAGAATAAGGCGGATGCGGATGCCGTACGCGAGCTGAAGAATATTGCGCTGGACGGGAAAGCAGTTTTGGACAGCCTCAAGTTCAACGAAACCTCTAGGGACCAGAAACTCGACCACCTTCGCAACTTGCTTGCTAGCGGTGCCGGCGCTTCTCAGGCGTCTCTCCTGCAAAATCCGTTTAGCAACCCCTGGGGATCCCAACTCGCAACTCCCTCTAGCGGCCTTGGCGGAAGCGGGCCCCAAACGGTTCAGTCCCTGGCAGCCCTTGGGCAACCCCCCCCCTCCTTTGCGGCCGCCGTCGCTCCCGTGTTAGATCCCCGCCAGGCTCAGACCCAGTCCGCCGGTGGAACCCTCCCCGTCCGATTTGGAGGAAGCCAAGGCCGCAGAAGCTCGCGCAGCTCTCGCTGCTCGGCGGTTGGCCGACGATCGCCTCGCAGTTGCAATACGCGCAAAAATGGCACAGGGGCGTCTGATCGATGCGGAGGGACTCCCCAGGACTGCGGACGGCATCAAGGCCCTTCTCCGCGACAGCCTGGACTTCCCGGCGGCGGCCATTGAAGCAGCATCCAAGTTCGTTATAATCAAGCCTAGAGCAGGAACGGGCGACGCAACCCGCACATGCAAGGTTAGCTTTTCAAATGACTCGCGCAGAGCAGGCTTCCTTGCTGTGGCTGCAAGTGACCACGTAGCCGGCAAGCTAGGAAGAAAGAATCTCACGATTGACGGATGGCAGTCAAAGGGAGATATGTCATGCGTGTTTGAGTCGAGCCCCAATTGAGTCGAGGACTCTGACAAAACGTCATCGAAATGAAACTTTAGGCCGTCCATTATGGTCGAACGTCGTGCAAGTTATGTGCAACATGCTGTACAGTGTGCATGATGTGCATCATAGGGCCTTCCCCCCCCCCTCAGGGATGAGACGGTGGCCGTCCCCGGCCACACTGTCAATCAATGCAACTACCAAGGCCGAATTAGCAGGCCCTCTCCCAACCTGTCACTTAGTATAGGTTGAGGCATCCCAGTCCCTGCCTGAGAAGACTGAGGCATCCCAGCAGTGACCGCAGTATGCTGAGGCTTCCCAGCCCCCCTATTAGAGGGAGCGCTGAGGCTTCCCGGCTGTATCCATGCAACCGAGGGACCTGCGCACTTGCATGGCCCGCGTTGTCCTGCGGCTATCCCATTCAAGTTGAAGGGTGTGCCGATCATTCCGCGGCTATCCCATTGAAGGGTGTGCCGGCTCATTCCACACAAACAGTGGTCACGCGCGGCTATCCCATTTAAGGGTGTGCCGATCCGTTTATGCAAACAGAGGGCTGTCCCATTTAAGTGTAACGGCACGACTGCGCACCGACTTCTGGCTGCGCGCCAAACTCGCGGCCGCGCATCGTCCGTTATTATACGCTATCGACTTATTTGATATATCGAATCACTACACGACACGTGTCTGGGTTACTTGCTTCACCGCGTGACCGTCCGATAAGACCCACGTGCACCGCGTGCGAGGGAACCGTCCGATGAGCTTTCGAGACTAAGCTTATGGCCGGCCGAGCACCGAAGCTTCTAGGCTGACACTTCG